GAGGGAAAAAACCCAGGAGGGCAGCAATGGAGATCCTCTCTTTGTAGAAGCAAACAGAACTGAAGGAGAGTAGGGCCCTTCTTCCTGGTCAGATGACAGTTTTGAATGGAAAGTGTCAAGGGGAGGAGGAGCACTTCTGGAAAGATCTGGAAATCTGTGGCTGGCACACACAATCCCAGTATCGGACCGCACAGAAGCCACAACAATAAACTAACATGTTTCTATTGTGTCATAGAGACAAATCTTGACAACCCACTTCAGGAATGACAGTAAAAAGAGCATGGGGAAATATTTCAAATAAATTATCCTTAATCCAAGACATTAACAATATGTCTTATAAGTAGAGCTCAACTAAATTTTCATAAATTTTGTTTTTTCGGTTAAAGTGTGTTCATTCAGTAAGAATGAACTTCTTGTCAAATAACAAATCGAACAAAACTCTAAAGGATTTCTCTACTTTTCCTCCAAGTCCTCAACACTAATTACATATTAGACAGGAGCAAAAGCCCTGAAAGGTTCCAAAAAATTGCTCCAAACTACCCCCCCAAAAGCACAGCTCATCAAACACCTGGACCATGGGAGCAAGGACGCTGTGTGGTTCCTGTCCTTATATAATAAAATGCAGGGAAGTTCCCTGGCCCTAGTGAATGACGGTTTAAGCATAGTCCCTTTATATACTCTCCGAAACCTATCCCCCAAATCCATGTAACTAGTTTCAATGCAGCTCCTTGACACAGAGGCACTTCCATTTGCAGAAGAGGGACCAGCGATTTCCACTGATCTTCTCCTCCCACTGCAGGCCTCTTTCACTCTTAGGGTTGCTAGCTTTGGGATGGGAAACACCTAGAGATTTTGGGGGTGGAGCCTGAGGATGGTGGGGTTTGCAAAGGGGAGGGCTTTCAATTAGGGGGACTCCAGCGCTGCTCCGGGAGTGCGCGCGCACGCCGCAACCACATCACCCGGAAGTGACGCAACCACATCTGGCATGCTGGGGGCAGGGCCACAATCATCCGAGGAAAAACCATAGAGTTTTCCCTCAGATGACCACGGCCCCTCCCACAACGTGACTGCGTCACGTCCGGGTGATGTGCTGACGCCGGGCACGTTGCGTACTTTGGGGGTGGGGTTCCCCCCGGGGCCCAATCTGTAGGCGGCGGGAAACAGGCCCCTGAGGCGGGGGTTTCCCTGCCCCCCGGGGGGACATGGCTACTCTACCCATAAAGGATAATGGTATGGCATTCCATTTCTGCAAGTCCGATCTAATATCTTTCAGTAGTTTCATATAATTCCCTTCAATCAGTGCGTTATTTTTGCTTGTCATATGTATTCCCAGATACTTGACTTTTTTAACTATTTCCATCTTGGTAAGCTCTAGAATATTTTCAGCTTCATTTTAAAGCCACAATTGGCACAATCCTGGAGAGGCCCCCTTTGAGCTATAATGACAAAGGTGAAAATCAGAAACTTTTCTTCTTTAAATGTAGTTTTATTCCACACTTCAATGACTAGAGAGGATAAGAAACTTTTAAGAAAAACAAGTTGTCTCATCCTTGATTAGGAGGTGAGGAAAAAACCCCAGGAGGGCAGCAATGGAGATCCTCTCTTTGTAGAAGCAAACAGAACTGAAGGAGAGTAGGGCCCTTCTTCCTGGTCAGATGACAGTTTTGAATGGAAAGTGTCAAGGGGAGGAGGAGCACTTCTGGAAAGATCTGGAAATCTGTGGCTGGCACACACAATCCCAGTATCGGACCGCACAGAAGCCACAACAATAAACTAACATGTTTCTATTGTGTCATAGAGACAAATCTTGACAACCCACTTCAGGAATGACAGTAAAAAGAGCATGGGGAAATATTTCAAATAAATTATCCTTAATCCAAGACATTAACAATATGTCTTATAAGTAGAGCTCAAGTAAATTTTCATAAGTTTTTATTTTTGGGTTAAAGTGTGTTCATTCAGTAAGGATGAACTTCTTGTCAAATAACAAATCGCACAAAACTCTAAAGGATTTCTCTACTTTTCCTCCGAGTCCTCAACACTAATTACATATTAGACAGAGATGTGCAAAAGCCGTGAAATGCTGATTTTGAAGGTTCCAAAAAATTGCTCCAAACTACCCCCCCAAAAGCACAGCTCATCAAACACCTGGATCATGGGAGCAAGGACGCTGTGTGGTTCCTGTCCTTATATAATAAAATGCAGGGAAGTTCCCTGGCCCTAGTGAATGACGGTTTAAGCATAGTCCCTTTATATACTCTCCGAAACCTATCCCCCAAATCCATGTAACTAGTTTCAATGCAGCTCCTTGACACAGAGGCACTTCCATTTGCAGAAGAGGGACCAGCGATTTCCACTGATCTTCTCCTCCCACTGCAGGCCTCTTTCACTCTTAGGGTTGCTAGCTTTGGGATGGGAAACACCTAGAGATTTTGGGGGTGGAGCCTGAGGATGGTGGGGTTTGCAAAGGGGAGGGCTTTCAATTAGGGGGACTCCAGCGCTGCTCCGGGAGTGCGCGCGCACGCCGCAACCACATCACCCGGAAGTGACACAACCACGCCGGGCACGCTGGGGTGGGGCCACGACCATCCGAGGGAAAAACCATAGAGTTTTCCCTCGGCTGACCATGGCCCGGCCCACAGCGTGCCCGGTGTGGTCGCATCACTTCCGGGTGACATGCACATTGCGTGCTTTGGGGGTGGGGTTCCCCAGGGAAAACCATAGAGTTTTCCCTCGGATGATCGTGGCCCCGCCCCCAGCATGCCCGGCGTGGTTGCATCACTTCTGGGTGACATGCACGTCGTGTGCTTTGGGGGTGGGGGTTTCCGGCGGGGCCACGGGCCTCTGGGGTGGGGGTTTCCCCAACCCCCGGGGGGACTTGGCAAGCCTACTTTCAATGTATATAATGTCATAGAGCCCACCTTCCAAAGCAGCCATTTTCTCCAGGTGAACTGTTCCTGTTGCCTGGAGATCAGCTCCAGCCACTAACTGGAGGTTGACAACCCTATTCACTGTTCTTGAGATTTCATTGACACAGACCCCGGGGGGGAAAGGAGAGAAGTAAGTGGATTGCAGCAGGAAGGGGAAGCTAAAAAGTCCAGCTCTGCAAAGTCTGCATATGATTGGATATGCACCAGTATGTATTTAAGGGACTCTGCCTAAGTATAGTTCAGTTCGAGCTGGGGAATTCCCTCAGCATAGTCAGACTTTTTCAGGATCATTGCTTACAAGGCTTCTGAGCCTCTTCAAGCTGTTCCATGTACACTAACTCAGGAACAAAAAGTTCCCTGGGCCATTCAAAGTAAACTCCTGGCAGTTTACCCACTGTTCTTGCTGAGGTATAATTAGTGTTCAGCACCTAGACAAAAAAGGGTACTCAAAAGGAAACCAAAAAAACATGAGCACGCTTTGATAACAAAAATGACACTGAAACAAAATAGGCTGTTGCTGCTCAGCTTTAATAGCCATTGTTCATTTTTAAGAGGTTTTACAGACTAACTCGAACTACTACCTGATCATTGCTCACATTAGCAATCTGTGATGGAAAAGGAGGGTGCACCAGGATACAATGAGTTTTGTCTTGTTTATGTTAAAGCTAGGCACACTTCTCTTCCATGAAGCACAACACAGATGTGCCATTTAAAGGGCATATACAACTTTAGTATGAAAGAGAAGAAAATGAGATCATTCCCAAAGCTTATGCCAAGGGCACAGCTTTAATTTTTTTTGCTTTTGATGCATTTAGCCTCACCTATACATAGACCTGGTTGTTATGAGAGCAATTCCTCCAGAAGAATGTCAAGATTTCAGTTGCACGTCAAAAACATTAATAATTATTTACTTAAGGCCAAACCAGACAAGATACTAGAAGAACAGATCTTCATAGGTTTTTTTAAATGAAAACTGCAACCAAGAATGGCCTAATTTGGATGGAGCGTAGCACAGTGAGAGAAAGGATGTAAACTGTTCCCACAGTTTTGCCAATCAAATTGTTTTCAAATATATTTCTCACTTGGTCCTTAAATGTGCTAGATACCCAGTGCCAGCATCTCAAACTAGTTCAAGTCAATATTTACAACCGCCAATTAAAATTCAGGCAGTAACACTGTCTTGAATTCATCAATGTTCAGTCAAAACAACTGCAACAACCCCTTCTGTTTTGAATGAGTGCCTCTATTTGGCTATCAATAATAGTACATTATATCTACAGTGCTTACCATGGATCATGGGAATTTAAAATATGACACTGAATAAACTCATAGTATTTCGCAATAAAACATATCAATAGCATGCCTCTGAAATAAAATTTCCAATAAAATTATCTTTCAACTATTTAAATGTTCATGAATATTAATGTTCCCTCTCTTCCATTAGAGAAGATATAGTTCTCTAACAGTTATAAGGCAAGTACTTCTATCAGAGTCTTGAGGAATTTATATGGCATACACAACACCTGGTGTTTTTTGGGAATGGATCCTCAGATCTTTTCTAACAATGTACATGGGATTTTTCATTACTCATGTGAAGCTGGTTTCTATGTGTGGGAAAAGCAGTTGGGCCACTCATTTTTTTAAAGCACATCATTCCCACCACATGCAGAAGAAGACTACTTGACTGGGGTAAATGACTGTATGAACCATAAATGCTTGCTATAGAAATAGAATTCTGTAGTCAACAACGGACAAGATTGTGTGCATTCAAAACATGACACTTGGTAAGATTACAGTACTTCTCATTTAAACAACGCCTCATGGCTACAGCCAATATTTCTTACTATTATTTTACTCTTTAAATTACATAGTTAATTCAATAGTTATAGAACTTCTAGGCTACCATCAGTGTGTGTGGCTAGACTAAAGGATTATTTAGTGGCCCACAAAGAACATGCCCTTATCCATGCAGTCATGCAACATGCAACAAAGCAGCACTCAACAAATTGCAAAGAATGGAAAAGAAAATCAAGGGATGCTCACACAATTATTTGTCAAGGGTCTCCTTACCAAACAGTGAGATCCTATGCCTGACAAGAACTCCAAGTTTGCAGACCAGGCTGAAGACAAAGGGAAAATAAAAGAGAAAAGAGGGGAAAGAAACAAAAGAAGAAGAAAAATGACAGCTGATATATGAGCAAGGAAAAGCAACATGATGTTTTGCAGAAAGAATCAACTGTCTGAGCAGAATGTAAGACTAAGAATATTAAAACAAGTTTTCAAGAGCATCTCCTTAACAAACATGGTTAAATAAGCACATATTATAATTAAAGAAAAAGAAAAACATTGACAACAAAGCTAGTAACTTTAGAGAATGTATACAAATAGCTACTGAAATTGCAGGAAGTAAATACAATCAGTAGGCTAGTTTAGAAGGTCGCTACAGTTTTAGAAACAAAAAAGAGAATAGGTTCTCAGTGAGTCACAAATATTTGATGGTGGCAGTACATATCAATGGTATGTGCCTTTAAACGTGTTCATTCACCTTCTTTCTTTTTAAAGCTTGTAGTTTATAATGTAATTAGCTATGGCCACAATCCGATAAAGAGTTCAAACAATGAATTCATCGCTCGTTTTTAAATCTTAAAAGATGCCATATTGAGGAAGAGATGGGAAATGCAGCTGGGAGAAGATAATGCATAAACAAGATTGCATTTCATGAGAGGAGGGGAGGAGCTGTGGCTCACTGATACTGCATCTTCTTGTGATACAGAATGTTCCAAGTTCAATCCCCAGCATTTCCAGTTAAGGATCAGGGCACGGGTAATGTGAGAGACATTTACCTGAGACCATAGAAAGCCACTGCCAGTCTGAGTAGAAGTACTAACATTGATTCAGTATAAGGCAACTTCATGTATCAAGTTTCATAAGTAAATTCAGTTCTTATCAACAATAGCATCATGGAGAGCCACTGCTAGTCTGAGTAGAAGTACTAACTTATTGATTCAGTATAAGGCGACTTCATGTATCAAGTTTCATGAGTAAATTCAGTTCCTATCAATAATAGCATTATGAGTAGGGATGGGCACGAACCAGCTCACAAACTGAAATTCCTGCTGCACTGGGGCCGGTCTGGATTTGGTGAACTGATGTTCAGAGAAGGCCTCTTCCTTGAAAATTTACTGGACTTGTGGCTGATTCAGCTGTTCAGGGTCAGCCACAGCTGGGAGAAAGGCGGAAGTCCCTTGAAGGGTGGTCCCTGCCCCCTTTCTCCCAGCAGCAGCTTGCCATGACCAGGAGAAAGGGAGAACCGAACTCACCAGACAGGCTCAGTTCAGGTAGGGGCCTTTTGGTCAGTTCAGTTCAGCCGCCCCAAATCCCAAACCAAACTGCTTTTGGGGGATTCATGCCCATCCCTAATTATGAGCATTCATAAGGTTGCCCTTTAAGATGCTCAAAAGGATTAAATAAATCATCAGGCTGGTCCCCCCCCCCCAATCATGACATCCAACATCAGATTCTAAAAATATTAGCCATGGTCAGAAGTGATCTGAGGTGGAGTGGGTGGTGACTAAGGTTTATTTATGTATTTAATTAATTTGTACCCCGCCCTCCCCGCAAAGCAGTGCCATGTGATCATCAAAGGGGATCAGCAGAGACAGGGGGCAGTCTGGGCAGCACAAAGCAGGTAAGCTTCTAATGAATAGCTAGCACTGCCTCATATAGGCCCAGCTTGATGATGTTATTGGCTGTGACAGACTGTGCTGTTCATTCACCAGCAATGCATCTTCGCAGTGGCTCCCATGCAGCTGCCTTCCTCCTCAGCTATGGACTCCAGTAAGAATGTAGGGACCTTAATTTGCAATGGGGGCTGTCACTCAAGTCACACTTCACCAGGCACCACTGATTACTACTTGCATTGCATACATTCTAATAATTGATATAAAAAATGGAAAGGCAATCAGCTAAGTTAAAGAGACACGCCAAAAGCACACAAGTGTTCAGTGGACCTGCCCTTGATCTAGACAGCACAGCAGCCATAGGTTACATGGACTAGTCTTCGTTGTACATTTGCATAGTGACCAGGATGAGGTATGACTCCATGATGTTTCTTTAATTATTTCACAAAATATAGCCAAGTGTGCCATGAGCCATTTCTATTAATAAAGCTTTATTACAAGTGTGTCCTTATTTAAAAGGCAGAGATAGACAGAGGTTTCATAGCTAGGCTGCCTCTGGTGATGAAGAACTAACTTCAAAGGTTATTCTTGGAGTGGTTCTCAAACTGTGGGTTGGGATCCAAAGGTGAATATTTCACGGATAGGCTACAAGGCCGGCAGGAAGGAGGAAAAACAAGATGATCTGGGAGAGGAGATTCGGTTGGCAAATCTGGCTTGCCCCTGATGTCCAAGAATTATGGCTTGTTGGAAAATAATGTCATATATATTTACGAATACTAAACATGAACTAAACATAAACTTCAATAATCCTAGGTAAAGGTAAAGGTTTCCCTTGCTCGAAAGCTAGTCAAATCCGACTCTAGGGGGCAGTGTTTCCAAGCCGAAGAGTCAACGCTGTCCAAAGACTTCTCCGTGGTCATGTGGCCAGCATGACTAAACGCCGAGGCACACGGAACGCTGTTACCTTCCCACCAAAGTGGTACCTATTTATCTACTTGCAATTTCTTGCTTTCGAACTGCTAGGTTGGCAGGAGCTGGGGCAAGAGACGGGCACTCACTCCATCATACGACACTCGGGTCTCGAACTGCTGACCTACTGATCTTAAACTCTGAGCCACCACAGCCTCCTCAAAAATCCTAGAAGGAAGCTAATAGAAGTTTTTAAAAAATTGTTTCTGAGATTCACAACTTTACAGTCCTGATGATGCAGAAAACCCTGCAACTTATAAGGTTTATATTTGATACTAAATTACTAACCCGAATCCTGAACCTTGAGCTGAAAATAAGGAGCCGACTAAGCATTATGCTGGCATATCTTGAAGTTACACCAGTGCATCTGAGAGGTATGCTGGTATACAAGAGCTACACTGGCAGCCATCTGCCATGGCTGGGTGCTGGAGATATTCTGGTAGCCACCACACAAGCATAGAAACATGGGTATCCAGGGGCATGCAGTGGGTGAAGCTGGACTTAGGCAGCTCTCTAAGCCTCTCAAGCAAAAAACACTCAGCCAGCATAAAGTTATACCAGTAACTACAGTAAGTACAGCCCACAAACACCGAAGGGAAAATCAAAGTGCACCCCCCCAGCCCTGGACATATCATCAAGCCCCAGTGTAGTTCAGGATGCCAACTAATGGTTTGTGCTTGGTATAGACAGAGCTGAAAAAATACCTGATAAATATTTTTCTCTGCTGATCAGCAAGGGGCCAAGAATTCAGCTATCCCAAAACAGCCACCCCCCCAAAAAAATCCAGAAAATATTCGGATTTTTCAGGGTCGCCAGATAGCCACAGTTACAGGGCATTCAAAGGGCTCAATCCCTTTAAATGCCTTGGGAGTGAACTCTCAGCAAGGTAAAATGCCTTTGGAGTTCACTTGTCATGGCGCAGAGTTGTGCCGTGACTTGGAGAAGGAATTTTAAAGGGGTCATGTCCCTTTAAAAATGCCTTTTCCACCTCCATTGGAAACAGTGGATGGGGGCATCTTATTCTGGGGTGTATAGAATTGGCCCCCCTGGTCCAATCTTTTTGAAACTTGGGGGAGGTTTGAGGAGAGGAACCAGCAGCTATGCTGCAAATTTGGTGCCCCTACCTCAATTTGGTGCCCCTCCCAGAGGACCAGATAGCCTATGGGAACCATTGACAATAATGGTCCCCATAGGGCATAATGGAGCCCAAAAAAAATTGGCAATCCTGAATATTTTTCAAATCCCAATAACATACCAATACTGGGATTTGGGAATATCAGGAAATATCAATATTTTGGGGGTTCAATAAACTCAAACCAAAAAAAACCCCACAACCCTATTTTGTTTGTGAACACCCCTAATGCCAACTACAGCCACAACCAATTCCCCTCCCTCTGTAGCCCTCCACCCAGCTTCAAGGAAGTGCTGCCCAAATTCCCATGACGTCTATTGCCTTACAGCATTATGCTCCATGGTAAATTCCCAGAAGATGAAACAAATATTAACACAGGTGACGAGTAAGTGTTGTCTGGATGGCTACGCCATGCTCTCAAAGGGCCTCAGAATGTGGAGACCCATTGTCCCCGGGGCCATTCAAGCATGACCCTACCAGTCATGGCCATTGTGCTGTAGGTCAGGGACAATCCTCATCATTATTCATCTTTCTGTTTAGCAGCTATGCAGCTGGTTATTCGACAGGGAGGAAACCTGGGAAGACCACCTTTTTGGAATGGCATGTGCTGGCTTCTGCCACAGGGCTGCTATCCTACTGGTTCCAGTCCAGCTCCTGCACTGTCCTAAGCTATTCAGACAACCAACGGTCTGGCATGGCTGTCCCAGTCACAGGCATGTTGAGATACGGAAGAGTCACCCTATCTCCCCATGGCCTTTTGGAGCAGCTTGCAAGGGCATATGGGCTATATGGGACAAGTTGGCAAACCCATTCATAGGAAGTCAGCTTGATCTCCCTGCTGCTGTTCAATAAAGTGCCTCTGTGATCGGTGACGGAAATATTAGGGTTACTCCACAACACCTCCCAATCCTAAACCTCCACTGATAGCTTTGTGTAGCTCAAATGCGAAGTAGGTTGAGGGCTGGTTCAAGTATACTCTTGCAAAGGGGAGCATGTGGGTCTCACACTCCCCCACATCATTGCTGGCAGCTGGTACACCATAGGCAATGGGCAGAAAGAAGAAGAGCCAATGGGCTGGGCCTGTGTTTGACAGGCAGATGCTGGCCCATAGAGGAAGCATTGCTGCCCCGATGCCTGTGGTCCCCTACCTGGCAAAAGGGAACTCAGATGAATGCTGGGACTCAAATTCACGTCTGTAGTACTGTAGTCAACCCTGTAGTACTTTATTTGCAGGGATCCTGCAGCTCACTTCGCAGGCCTCCACAGGGATTGCAGCATCTACAAGTCTTTCCTCCCTCCTGCCTTCTGGAGCTCTGCCTGTGGGGGCGGGAACAGTGTGCCATCAGAGAGCTCTGGCTGCATTGGTATGCGATAGGAGGCTGTGCCCCTCCATGCCACAGGGATGTCAGCAGGATGCTACTCTAACTAGTGGGTCGCTGCCTGGGTTGCTAGGGACTTTGGCATGCTTGCTATGGTGACTGGTAGCACTTATGCTGTGGCAAAGCTCGACTGGTTCATCTGTGCTGCAGCCAGCAGGCTCTCAGGATTGTGCTGTTAAGTACAACATTGTGCTGTTAAGTACAACATTGTGCTGTTAAGTACAACATAAAGACATAAGAGATGCCAATGTTGGATCAGGCCAAAGGCCTACCTATATTTCATCTCCGCAAATCTGAAAGCTGAAATATAATATTAAAATCTGCCTTAAAGATATCTGAATATGTCAAAAGAAAATTTAGATTCCAGTCTTTTGGGGGGATATTTTTGCATTTGTGTATGTGCGTGTGTATGCTTGTGCTGATGTCCGGAAGTCATGGCAAATTCTGGTGACTCCTACTGGGGCACATTCAGAGAAGTGGCTTGATAGCCTGCCTCTGGCCGCCCAGCCCCGATATTCTCTGGAGGTCTCCCATCCAAATACTTGCCAGGGTTGGCCCTGCTTAGCTTCCAAGTCCTGACAAGATTGGGCTTGCCTGGGCTACCCAGGTCAGGGCTCAGTCATTAATTGAAGGATTTTAAAAAAAAGAAATGTCAAAAAGGAAGGACAATTCTGAATTTCAGCCCTTTCATCTTCCAAGAAAAAGTCCCTTGCTAATGTATGCCAGTGTTTGTCTTTGCTCTGCAGCTTAAAAACAAAGAGAAATTGCATCAGTCAAAAAAGTGTCCAGCCCAGAAATCTAGCCTTTAGCTACACAGTGACGGTGAAAACAGAATATAAAAGAGGTAGCAATAGCACTGGAAAACAATTCTGGGGTTCAAAAAGGATCCAAGAAATTATTCAGATAATAATGATTAGGAACTGATCATCATGTGAGCAAAACATGTCAGTGGGAATTTTCTTTCTGCCTTGATTAGGTACCTCCATAAATCCATCTACCTTTCATAATCAGTTACTATAAAATTATATTTTACCTTGTCACCATTTCTTTCTCCTTGTTAGAGGCATGCCCCCCACTGCTGAGAGGCCGGCTTGCTGCAGATAGGAAATACAGGCGATGATTTTTGAAATACTGATCAATTAAAGGGAGTACAACCTGGAAAAAAAAAATGAAACAAAAACAAATATCTTATCTTAAGGCCTGCTGTCCCATCATTCTTGGTACTTAGTTTATGACAGTTTCATGGCACTACGGATTTGTTAACATGCATTCAATTTCTCTCCATGTTTTTTTAAACATTCAGGAGAAAATCCTGTCCTTCTGCATGGGGTACATAAAGTACAGGAATATGGTTGTTCCCATATAATGAATAGCAGGGCTTTTTGGGTAGAAAAAGCCCAGCAGGAACTCATTAGCATAACAGGCCACACCCAACAGCAGAAACTCATTAGCATATTAGGCCACACCCTGACAGCACATCTCATTAGCACATTAGGCCACACCCCCATGGTACCAGAAGTGTAGTCATCCAGCCACACCCACCTTCTGCTTCTTATTCTGTTTACCTTGTTTGTTGTCAAAACCCAGGAATTTTTTTGTAGCAGGAACTCCTTTGCATATTAGGCCACACATCCCTAATGTAGCCAATCCTAATGAGTTTCTGCTGTTGGGTGTGGCCTGTTATGCTAATGAGTTCATGCTGGGCGTGGCCAACTCGGGAGCCCAAAAACAGCCCTGATGAATAGCAATGGTAGGGAGGCGACAAGAATAAACCACATGGTATTCAAAAATTATTTATGTAACTGGAAAATTTCTATGCCACCTCTCCACAGAACCTTTGCAATCATCTCCATAACCATGGCAGTGAGTGGCTCCTCTCCTACACAGATTCTTTGCCTTAGCCTCTGGGATGTTAATAGTCCTCCCCCCAAGGGCCATGTGTGTCTGGATGGGAAAACCATGAACATAGAGGCCTCACCCTTACTCTGAACTATGAAAAACAAATGCATGAGATGGGATCCTGGGTCACTGATTGTCTACCAGGACAGGACTATAGGTTTCCATGTTGTTGTCTGTAACTTTACCACAGCTGACTCCTGATCCCTATGCTGTGGTGAAGATACCAGATTATGTGGGCAATAGAGCCACTACACTGATATGTTTTATAGCTGCAGAAGAATAGAATGATATACTTTACTTTAGCAAAGAACTTGATTTCTTGCTCATAAGGAAACTGTTCTCCTTTGCCTCTGCTGCCACCATCTGCGTGAGAAAAGAAAAAAGGCCTGAAGTTCAAATTTAACTTGTGTCTTTTTATTATAGCCTTCCTAAACTGAAACTCTCATCCATTTCCTCTGCTGAACATCAATGTATTTATAGTGTGCTATCATACGAATTCCTGTTTCTTATCAGTAGTACAGTAGAACTGAGATTTTGTAGGATTAGTTTAAGTAAAGTGGGTCTGGCTTGATATGGATTCAAAGTGGTTCAAGTCCCAATAGTTTTATATGCATAATTCGGTTGCCAGCTCCAGGTTGGAAAAACCCTAGTAATTTGGAAGTTGAGCCTGGGAAGGGACCTGAGCAGGGTAAAATGCCACAGAGTTCACCCTCCATCTTCCCCAGGGCAACTGATCTCTATTATCTGGAGATCAGGTGTAATTCCGGGAGATCTCTAGACCCCACCTGACGGTTGGCAACTCTAATACATAATGGTAATTACATGCCACCATTAAAACTGACACATGGTGACCTGTCACTGGGTTTTCAAGGCAACGGATTAGCAGAGGTGGTCTGCTATTGCCTTCCTCTGAATAGCAACCCTGGTCTTTCTTCGTGGTCTCCCATCCAAATACTAACTATGGTTAATCCTGCTTAGTTTCCCAAGCTCTGGCAAACTTAGGCTAGCCTGAGCTATTCAGGCTGCTTTTATATACATACGGCGTCTCTAAAATATGAGTGTACATATAAAATAACCTGGTTGGATCCAACAAACCATGAGTGAAAGGCACTCCTACTAGATCTTCCCCACAACAACTCTGATGGGAATTGGGGCCTGCTGTAGACAAAATCCATACAACACAGGGCTACAAGCCAGGAATTGAATCTCACCCCCCGATTTCACCAGTGGATTCGATAGCTTTGTTGTCAGAAGAGGGAAAAGGAGTGATTTTTCTTTTTCTTTTTTTGTTTAATTTATTTATTTGTTTAATTTGTATCCCACCCTCCCTGCCAGGGCAGGCTCAGGGCAGCTTACAGGCTATATATATATACAAATAAAACGAGATATGTTAAAACACAAACTTTAAAGAACACCACAACATACAAATCATAAATGCTAGTAAGGTAAGGTAAAGGTTCCCTTGCTCGAAAGCCAGTCGAATCCGACTCTAGGGTTGCGGTGCTCATCTCCGTTTCAAAGCCGAAGAGCCAGCGCTGTCCGAAGACATTTCCGTGGTCATGTGGCCGGTATGACTATACACCAAGGTGCACGGAACGCTGTTGCCTTCCCACTGAAGTGGTACCTATTTATCTACTTGCAATTTCTTGCTTTCGAACTG